TGTTAACACTTTGTAATAATTCTTTAGTATATTACTTGTGTGGTGTAGAAGACAATTATCTAAGAATGTAATTATGTAAGAATGTTAACACTCTGTTATAATTTTTTTAGTATATTACTTGTGTGGTGTAGAAGAGAATTATTTATGTAGAGATACTGCTTGCAAACCAATGATGGTAAGATGATGTCATGGGGTAGGACTGGATAAGTCTAACTTCTTCCTACTCCATTCAAGCATGTACTAGGTATAAGCAAATCGATATTGGATTATGTGTAAAATTATGTGTGTTGTCATATCAACTGTCTTTACATGCTTGAAAGAATTAAAAAACAAAAAACAAAAAAAAAAAAAACTTGCCAATTCCCAAGCATTTATTATGCAGCAACAGGGCAGAGATCAGGTATCTCCAAAAAACAAAATCACCGTAAGTAAGATTTACTCAAGGTGTGAAAATGATTTTCCTTTTTTGTGCATATCTTTGTGACAGCTATACATAAATAGATGAACACAATCTCAGCGAACAGCCAGTGAATATGGGTGGCCCAGCGGTCTGCCTAATATGGCCACTTCCTGCTTTTTTAATTGGATTCTTGTTGTGGTATTGCAAGAATAGCCCATGTTGTCACATTCCGCACCATAAACCCTTAAATCTGGCCTGTAGAGTCAAGAATAAAAGAAACGGAAAATAAAAGAAATGCTTCACTGCAGTTTATAAATGTGTTGTGAAACAACAGAAAAACCGCTAGTTCGATCCAATAATAATAAAACTGTCATCCCCAGGGTAAAGCTGTCACATACAGGTAAATTAGTCATATAAACATAGATTTCCATCAAACATGTACTGGAAGAATGTGCTAAAAATATTATTGCTTAACCTAATGCACCACATCCCAGGTCAAGACTGGTTAATATGGGTTGATGTTTTTAATCGTATACCAATTTAGTTTGTATTTAAATGAAGCAGTATGCCTATATGTTATCTTGTTAAGGGTTTTCTAGCCTGTAGATGCAAGGTTTTGTGAGGGGAAAATTATGGTAGAGAGAAACATGTTGCACTAAAAACAGCTGCAGACCCGAGTGGATAATAGGCAAGTAAATACTGGCAATTCACTTTATAACACTATGCCGTAAAAATACTTTACAGACACTGCATCCATCTGCAAGGCATTTTGGCGTGAAATCACAGCAATTGCCTGAACTGTTATTGAACTCTTTTGTGTCAGTCAGTTGTGTGTAGCGACCTTTGCAATCCCTGGTCCAGCGTTCTGAAGGTGAAATTTATTTATTTATTTATTTTTTCCATGTCACTAAATTTGTGAACCAGTATTGTGTCAATTAACCATTGCAGATTAATGAGGAAATATCACTGAGCAAAAAAGCAGCTTTTTAATTTTTTTTTTCTTTACCCCAAGATCTTATTTTTTTAGACCTTCATATTCCATATTTATGTTGTGTTTGGGGTGAATATATAGTATGTGGTGTTTAAATCATCTCCAGAAAATGTGCTGTTTTGTATCATTTATTCCTCTGGCTCTTGGTGTGAAAAGACCTTGAGCCTGCTGCCTTCTGCTTTACAGCATGATGCAGTTTATAGGGACATTGAACTCTTGCAGTAATTCATGTTGAGTTCCATGTAAAGCCGTTTAATATGTTAGTGATTTAATATACACACGGCTGCTTTGTGTTAAACTTATTGTGCCTGTCACTGCTGGGAGCTTCACGGCCTGAAGCCAGCCATCAATCCAGTGGTAGAAGGAGGGGGTTCACTCCGGCAGGCCCCACCAGGAGCTCTCCCCACAGAGACCTCTCTCACAGTATACTTTTCTGGCTCATAAAGAGACAAGCCAAACGACCTCTTAGAAAACAGAATAAATCTGTTTGTCTTTATTTGGCTTGCTGTGACTGAATGGGGGATGAAGGTGTCTTTTGCTGTGAGATGCTGACCCCACCTTAGTGCGGCCCTCCTGTGTGTCTCCCATCTATCACAATACAATAACTCAGCTGTAACAATAACACAGCACGCTCACACTGACATGCTTATGAGGACTTTGGAGTGGAATGTGCATGTACAGTAAGCATGCACACACAAACTTGCATGGGTGTTGACTGCATATTTAATACTCAGCAGGTCCTCTTCTATCATTTGAGGTTTGCTTTTTGCGAGGACACTAACCCAAACTTTAAAGCTCCTTTAAGGCGGCTGTTTCTCGTCTTGTCACTGCCTGTGCTCGGCTTTCTCTTTCTGCTTTCTCCACCATTAAAAGGGATAGAAATACCTTAGCAATGTACAACAGAATCAAAACCAACAGAAACCTAGCTGAGAATTGAGTGTTTGAATTACATTTTTAAAAAAACTTCCTACACTTTGACTAGGATTAGGAAAACTGTTACTTTCTTTACCTTCAGTGCTCATACATGCATTAAAAACCCACACCATAAAATCCATCCTTAGGGCAAAAAATTCACTCACATCATTAGCTGTACAATAATCATGATTACTTCCACATGGACAATTTTCTTAATCTTTTTGTTTGTCTGACTTTGTGTCGTCCCCCCATTCCCTTAGACCAGAAATCTGCCGAGACAGAAACTGAGAGAAATGCTAACTTTTTTTTTTTTTATAAATAAGGCACACTACAAAATACAGTTGGACTCTATAGCTCGGCTTAATTTTCTGATGCAAGTTCTCAAGTTTCTTAAGCAAAAGGATGAGTTCGGCTTTTGACTTGATGTCCTGACCACAGTGGTTTTGTTCTTCATAACATGAACTTCATAGTGTTTACTTAATTCTCCTATGTGGCTAGCACCTCCGCCCTGGCACTTGAACATGCCAAAAAAGGATTTGCAGCCACTGTTAAAGCACTTGTTTTATATTAAGAGGAGGCACTTTTCCACTCCCTCTCCGCCTTCTCCTTTCTGACCTTTGTCCATTTTCCATCACTCCTCTGTTTTGTTCTCCATCTCTACCTGCACCGAGTTGTGCTAAATGTTATGCGTATGGCACATTACCTGCACACCATCCTACTGAATGGGCTGACTAGGCATGTGAAGGAGTGATTTGGCTGTGTGGATGTCTGCTTGCCTACTGTAACTGCCAAACTGTGCTCTCTGTGTGTGTGTGTGTGTGTGTGTGTGTGTGTCTCTGTGTATCTGTATCTCTGGGGGCTCCTGTGATGACGCACATAGTGACGGGGGAATGCTGGGGGTGGAGACTGGGGAGGATGGAGGGGAGGTGCAGGCAACTCGCCGAGCTCTTTGTTTCTCTCTTCTGCATCTCGATTTGCCATGCCAGTGCTCGCACACTCCCTCCTATCACAGAAAACGTACACTGCTGGGTACAGTAAGGTGCATCTGGTACATCGTGTGCATGTGTCTGTCATTCTGAAGACATGACAGCTCTATCCTCAAGCTTAAGGAGCTGGGGTGAAAAAATCTGGCTGCTACATTCACAATGGATTCTCTTAAATGCACACGAAACACTGTTGCATACAAGCACAGGTACAGTATATACACAGTCTCTCAGCAGTCCCACATTTGTTTTCTAAGTGCACACATATGAACAAAAACTAATGATGAATGTATAGTGTGGATATTGATATTTGACAAAGAAAGACAGTAGGCTTTGTCTTGTCTTGCGGGTGTGTGAAAATCTGCACACCAGTGTTCATGTGTGCTAGTCCCAGTGTTTTGGTTAAGGCCATGTTACTTATGGAAATGTTCGGAGGAAAGTGTTAACATATGCCCTGGACTCGATAAGACTCTTTGTCCACCTGTCTCACCCTACTCCATTCAACCTTAAACCTGCTCCACCCCCTTTTTTTTGCTCACTCTTTTTCATCAGAGCCTAAACCCTGACCACATGCCCTTTGTATGTGTGTGTTGTCTTGCAGACTACCTGACGTGTGGGTGAATGAAACAGAGCGATCTCAGCTGAAGACTAAAGTGGTGCACTTATCCCAGTTACCGCAGGACACAGCCATGCTGCTAGACCCAAACATCTATAGGTGAGTGTGTGCGTGTGTGCGCAGTGACGCCAGTGGCCTCTTTGTGCACATGCACACACAGACATGCAAGCACACACTGCAGTAGATCCATTCTGTCTCAGCCAAAGACACATTGCCCATAAATACTGTCTAATCCTCAGTAGGATGCATTGTATGAATCATTAAAGTGCCACAAGAAAGTGTTTAAAAGATCTTGCCTTTGCCCCCACACCTGTGTGTCTGTGTGTGTGTGTGTGTGTGTGTGTTTGAGCGAAACAATGTGAATGTGTGTTCACCTCTGTTTGTGTGTACAGCAGCCTTAACACTTTTTTCCACCAGGTGGCACCAACTCCTGACTTCAACAGTTGGGTTGAAAACAAGAGCAGAGAAAACACTTTTTGTTGTCCCTGTATGTGAGGAAGCAAACGGTGGCCACTGTCCAACCTGATGAAGCTGTTTGACAGCAGCCATACATGTTAAATCACAAAATAATGAAGTGGCTCAGTTATCTAAGTAATAAAGATTCTTTCACTTGAGATATACTGAGGATGCATTTGATTTGTATAATCTTGTTCAGCTGATAAATTCAAATAGAAGGAAGTGGAAGGCAGTCAACATCACAATGATAATGTAAAGTAGAAATTTTCAGTTTGAGACTTTACGTCTTCAGTCGAACCACATTCCACTAAAGATTAGCTGTGATATTATTTAAAACCCATGCAGCTCTACATGAGGTAGTATACTCCACTGAGATGAGAAAACAAGTTTAGCTTTATGGGGCACCTTAAACACTGACAACGAATCCTCAAAGAGGAACCATGTGCCTAAAACAACAGAGTGGTCATCTTACTGGCGATGTATGGCACATGCATGTGCCAATCATCACGCAGGCTGACTGATTTTAATTAGACCTGAAGGTTCACTAATTGCAGGGGCCACTGCTGGACTCTGGTTTCATAGCTGAATGTACCCATCAGCGCACAGCCAATTTACAGTGGGTACGGAAAGTATTCATACCCCTTTAAATTTTTCACTCTTTGTTATATTGCAGCCATATGCTAAAATCATTTAAGTTCATTTTTTCCTCATTAATGTACACACAGCACCCCATATTGACAGAAAAACACAGCATTTTTGACATTTTTGCAGATTTATAAACAAAGAAAAACTGAACTATCACATGGTCATAAGTATTCAGACCCTTTGCTCAGTATTTAGTAGAAGCACCCTTTTGAGCTAATACAGCCATGAGTCTTTTTGGGAATGATGCAACAAGTTTTTCACACCTGCATTTGGGGATCCTCTGCCATTCCTCCTTGCAGATCCTCTCCAGTTCTGTCAGGTTGGATGGTAAACGTTGGTGGACAGCCATTTTCAGGTCTCTCCAGAGATGCTAAATTGGGTTTAAGTCAGGGCTCTGGCTGGGCCATTC